CGAAAATTGCTTACTTTCTCATTTCACCGTATCATTATAAAATAAATTGACTGGAATATAAATATTGTACTTACATTTCCACATATAAAGCAGTATAAACAAATCAGTGTATGAAATTTTAGCCTTGGAATGGTAACTGTGTTAGTCTGTAACTTTAAAAACAATGAGCAGCCCCGTGGCACCTTAGAGACTAACCAGTGTATTAGGTCATGAGCTTTCGTGGGTATATATAACATTACAGCCGGTCCCCAAGTTGCGAACAGTCGACTTACGACCTTTCGCAGTTACAACCAAAGCTGTCATAAATGGCAGACCCTGAGTTACAATCACAGTCCATGCTGACGAACAGCGAGGTCGCGTGTACCTCTATGGGGTCCGACTTACGAATAAACCGAGTTAGAACCAATTGCTTGGTCCGTAACCGGTTCGTAAGTCGGGAAGAGGCTGTAGTTATAACTGTGTTATATACACGCTCTGGAACTCGCTGTTCTGGATACTGTAATTTCCACTCCCAACTTATCTGATGAAGTAGGTTTTATCCACAAAAGCTTATTTGTTAGTGGGTAACACAGAGTTGCTTAATTTTACAACAGGTTACATAAAAAGCACTAGCAAACTCAGTACAAACTACAACCAGTCCTGTGGCACTTTAGGGTATGTCTAGACTGCATGCCTCTGCCGACAGAGGCATGTCAATTAGACTACCCGACATAGTCAATGAAGGGGGGATTTAAATATCCCCCGCTTCATTAAAATAAAAATGGCCACCGCGCTGTGCCGGCTCAGCTGATTGTTGGCACAGCACGGCATTCAAGACGCAGATCAGTCGACAGGGAATGCCTTTGTTGACCACTCCTGTAAACCTCGTTTCACGAGGCATAAGGAGCGGTCAACAAATGCTTTCCCTGTCGACCGATCTGCGTCTTGACTGCTGTGCAGTGCTGGCGATCAGCTGAGCCGGCACAGCGCGGCGGCCATTTTTATTTTAATGAAGCGGGGGATATTTAAATCCCCCCTTCATTGACTATGTCGGGTAGTCTAATTGACATGCCTCTGTCGGCAGAGGCATGCAGTCTAGACATACCCTAAAGTGCCACAGGACTGGTTGTAGTTTGTACTGAGTTTGCTAGTGCTTTTTATGTAGCCTGTTGTAAAATTAAGCAACTCTGTGTTACCCACTAACCCCCTCTTTTGTCCTTTGACTGGAGAAATGTTAATGGGCTGCCTTACCTTGAACAGTCCCTCACAGTATGTGCTACCTACTGACCAATTTCTCGCATGTTGCTGTGATTCTGGGAGTACCATTCCCAGACCTGAAGAAAAGCTCTGTCTAGCTCCAAAGCTTGTTGGTCCTTCTTGTTGTCTCTTTAATGTCCCTGTCAGTTTCTCTGGCTGCAAAATGAGGCTAATGCTGGTTTGGGGTGTTGTGGGGATTAATACATTACAAAGGGCATGTGTGTGCATCTGCGTTTTGCTGCCAGGCAGGTGATACGATGCAGGAAAAAAATCCTCTTAGTTACAGGGCATGAATGGCCCTCTTCATGGGGCCCTGACAGCTGGAGTGAGAAGTGTAGCTGCTTGCAAAATGTGCTTACTTTAATCAGTTCAGGATGCAAGGGGTTAATTTCCGCGTGCCTTCAGATTGCTTTGTTTTCAGGGATTCTGCACCATTGCCTCCAGCTGTTGATTTTCATTTAACTAGGGTGACCTTTTTCTGTCCAAACTAGTTAAAACCTGCTCCACTGCCCAGAGCCTCTTCAGAGAAGCCTCTGTGAAGCCAAACACAGCTGCTGGGATGGGAACTGCCTTTTAAACATTGTCCTTGCCGGTTGCCATGTTTCCTTCCTGACCTCTCGCGGCTTGGAGCTCACCTGATGTTCTCAGGGGACGTTCTTCTGAGGAAGTGCGTTGTAGCTCATGGACACTTAACACCCTAATAAATGTGTTAGTCTTTAAAGTGCCAGCGGACTCCTTGTGGTTTTGGATGAAACAGGCTAACACCGCTACCTCTCAGAAACCTTTCCTACATGGGTTTTCAGAGAACTGCCATTAACAGAGCTGGGTGTCGGAGGAAGGAACAAACTGCCGTGGGAAGCAAAAAATCCCACTTAGCCTAATGCACAACTTAGTATACTGAGCATGGTGCAATTTCTCATGCACCGTTCAAGCTACTGAAACAACACATGACTCAGGCTTAGCCCTTGTTCACTGCGTATGCTGCTTGGGGTAGTTTTAAGCCAGGCTCCATTTCCATCCAAGCAATTTCTTGTGACTCGGTGGGGTCCGCAGTAGGTGGGACTACCTAGAACGCATCACTGGACCTCGGCCATACCAGCAGGATTCAACATGGCCTGATTCTAATTTAACAGGGGTTCTGTCCTTTCACAAATCACACGACCAGAAAACGCAATCTCAATGTAACAAAAGAAACTAGTCTATGCACGATACCCAACATCAGATTTCCTGTGAAATTCAATTCCAGGCAAGGAATTGAGCTTCAGTGTCAATGGCCGCTGGGCACAGCCAGGGGTACATGTCCCCCAGTTGGGGCAAATCCAGATTAGGCTGGGTGGGGACCACAGAAGAACCACCTGTCCTCTGGCAGCAGCAGCTCTGGGGAAGCTCCAGGCTGGGTACTATGGCTGGGGGAATACGACTCCTCTGGCCCCAGCATGGAGCAGACATGGCTGGGGGTGGGGGAAGGCGCTCACTCCTTTAGCCCCAGCACAGAGCAGCCATGGCCGGAGTGTGAGGCACCCTCTTCCATGGCTCCAGCACAGAGCTGCCATGGCCGGGGGTGGCGGGGTGAGGCATCCCCTTCCACATCTCCAGCTCAGAGCTACCAAGGCCAGGGGGGTGAGGCACCCCCTTCCACGGCTCCAGCACAGAGCTACCATGGCTGGGGGAGTGGGGGGGAGAGTGGTGAGGCATCCCCCTCCATGGCTCTGGCACAGAGCTGCTTGAGTTGTTCTGTCTCTTTTCTGTTCGCTTTAATGAGCAGCAGTCCCATTCCAGGCACATCCCGTTTTCCTGGCACAACCAAACCCTTACGTTCCTGTAAGTTAGGCTAAGAGGAAGCTGCCTCCTGACTGGGCTGATCCTCGCTCTTTCCATGCTGGAGTTCTGCCTCGAACTTTCATACGTTTTTTAAATCTGCAAGTCCACTTCTGCAATAAAGACGAGGCTCGAAAGTGTCTGGTTTTATGCAGATTAGATGGAAGCTTTGTGGCTTCTGGCAGGTTGCTGAGGCAACCCCCACCCAGGCCGAAGTCCAAGCTTCACCCCCAATGAAGTCTGAGTGCCTCGTGTACTCAAGCCTTGTCTTCACTCAGGGGAATTGGCAAAAATCTCCCACTCTCGCTGACCCCAGTGCAGCTCCAGTGATGGCAGCAGGAACGAGAACAGGCTGCCATTGCTTATTTAAATCCGCTCTGAACAGGGCTAAGCAGCGCCTGGCAGCCAGCCCGTAGGGCTCCCCTTCTTGCTACTACCAGTGTGAACAGCGGTGGGAAAATGCTGCCAAAATCCCCCGACGTGTAGACACAGTCTGAGGGCTTGACCTTGGAAATGTGCTGGGGAGACACGTTTCCGTTGCTCTGGTGCAGATGTTATCAGCCCTGTCATCCTGGGAACCCGCAAAGAGACAAGTGTACTGCGAAATGGGACTTCTATGCTCCGCAGCCAACAGCTGGGGCCTTGCTGAATCCAAACCATTGTGTCAGTCGGAAAGGTTATGCTTTCCCTTGGCCGCTCAGCTGCCTCAAGGCAATCATCATACTGTTACTGGACAGGAAGAGAGAAATAAGGGTTTAACTGAGCCTCCTGGGTCCATAGCAGCCTTAGGGTATATTATTGCTAATGACAGAGTATTTTCTGTATTGTAGTGACCTCTAACAGACTGCTTGGCTCCTGGCAGTACATAATGACTGGGGTCAGATTCTGCTCAGTTACATCACTGTCAATATGGAATAATTCTGTTCACTACAGCGGAGACTTCTGGATTCATGGCAGTGTTCTTGAGACCAGCATTTGGCCCAGGATCTCTGCCCCAGTGAGCCGCCAATCTGAAATATACCCATAGAATGGGTAGACACAATGCAGAAGCAAAGCACACTAAAGCGACAGGGTCGTTCCTGTATAACGGAGCAGAATTTAATCCATTACTTCAGTAGGTTTTATTGGAAAGGATTTCAGAGTAAATTGTGTTTTAGGGAGAGATTTGGCTGAAGAGGGGATGGATGTTTCCTTTCTGTGCAGAGGTACGAACTCTGATGGAATGGCGCAGAAGGCAGGAATCCCTGAACAAACAGATGTTGACCAAAGAAAAGAGGGGGAGTTGGTGGTGGGAAATCTAGTTTCAAAACAATAAGAAGTTAAAATCTGAACAAAGCGGGGAAAATATTGGCTGAATTGCTGTGCTTCCCTTCCAGCCCCAGCAACGAAAGTGTCATTTGTGAGACCTTGGAGAACTTGCAGGGCTTAGTTTGGATGGTTTTCTGTGGTTGATAAAGTTATCTTGGTTCCAGTTTTGGAGCAGATGAGATCTGTCCTTCAGCATGTTATGGATACAGCAGGAGCCGTGAAGTGACTGATTGTGCTTTTCATTTTCAGGGACCTTCCTGACGATCCAGCTGTTGAATGGGACACACAGCTCCTCTCTGCCTTTGTGCTAAAGCACGTAGAAACCAACAACATCAATCTGGTAATGCGCAACTTTCTACAGCAAAGGGATTTTGCCCACAATATTCTCAGTTACCAGCATCCCAGATTGTTTGCTCCCCTTTTAAAAGGGTTTATTTTTTGTAGATTTTAGCTTAGAATTTCACTGTTGGCGGTTAAAGGAGCAATAGATACGTTACGGTCTTCACCTGTTGCTATAATTCAGTCCTTGGAGGCACTTTCATGTGGTCATTTCACCAGCCTTTTCTGAGATGTCACTAGGCTGCACTGAAAGTCAGTGTCAAACTGAAAAACTCGAGGCAAAGCTCCTCTGAAACTGGAAAACAAGCAGGAAGAATTAGCCCTGGCCCTGTCAAAGAACTATGATATGCTTGGAATAACGGAGACTTGGTGGGACGACTCACATGACTGGAGCACTGTCATGGGAGGGTATAAACTGTTCAGGAAGGACAAGTGGGGAAAAAAGGTGAAGGAGTTGCACTGTATGTAAGAGAGCAGTAGGACTGCTCAGAGCTCTAGCATATATATATAGAGAGAGAGAGAGAGAGAGAGAGAGAGAAAAGTCTGTTGAGAGTCTTTGGGTTAAGCTTATAGGCTGGGAGCAACAGGGGTGGTGTTGTGGTCGTTGTCTGCTAGAGGCCACCAGATCAGGTAGACGAGGCTTCCTTCAGACAACTGAGAGAAGCTTCCAGATAGCAGGCCCTGGTTCTCATGGGGGACTTTAATCATCCTGACATCTGTTGGGAGACCAATACAGCAGTACACAGGCAATCCAGGAAGTTTTTGGAGAATGTTGGGGATAACTTCCTGGTACAAGCGCTGAAGGAACTGACATGGGTCCATGCGCAGCTTGACCTGCTGCTCACAAACAGGGAGGAACTAGTAGGGGAAGTAGATGTGGGTGGCAGCCTGGGAAGCAGTGATCATGAGATGTTAGATTTCAGGATCCTGACCAAAGGAAGAAAGGAGAGCAGCAAAATACAGACCCTGGACTTCAGAAAAGCAGCCTTTGACTCCCTTAGAACTGATGGGCAGGATCCCCTGGGATGCTAATATGAAGGGGAAAGGAGTCCAGGAGAGCTGGCTGTATTTTAAAGAAGCTTTATTGAAGGCATCCCGATGCACAGTGAGAAAAGCAAATATGGTAGGTGACCAGATTGGCTTAGCAAGGAAATCCTTGGTGAGCTTAAACACAAAAAGGAAGCTTACAAGAAGTGGAAACTTGGACAGATGACTAGGGAGGAGTATAAATATATTGCTTGAGCATGCAGAGGTGTAATCAGGAAGGCCAAAGCGCAATTGGAATTGCAACTAGCAAGGAATGTGAAGGTAACAAGAAAGGTTTCTACAGGCATGTCAGCAATAAGGAGGTGATCAGGGAGGGTGTGAGGCCCTCAACCTAGTTACAGATACTATGGGAAAAGCTGAATTACTCAGTGCTTCTTTGGTCTCTGTTTTCACAGACAAGGTCAGCTCCCAGACTACTGCACTAGGTCATGCAGTATGGGAAGGAGGTGGGCAGCCCTCATGGATGAAGAACAGGTTAAGAACTATTTAGAAAAGCTAGGCATACACAGATCCATAGGTCAGATTTAATGCATCCGAAGGTGCTGAGAGAGTTGGCAGATGTCATTGCAGTCTTTGACCATTATCTTTGATAACTCGTGGAGATCGGGGGAGGTCCCAGACAATGGGAAAAAGGCAAATGTAGTGCCCATCTTTAAAAAAGGGAAGGACGACAATCCAGGGAACTATAGACTGGTCAGCCTCACCTCAGTCCCCAGAAAAATCATAGAGGGGATTCTCAAGGAATCCATTTTGAAGGACTTGAAAGAGGGGAACGTGATCAGGAATAGTCAACATGGATTCACGAAGGGCAAGTCGTGTCTGACCAGCCTGATTGCTTTCTATGATGAGGTCACTGTCTCTGTGGACATGGGGAAGTCAGTGGATGTGATACATCTTGAGTTTAGCAAATCTTTTGATATAGTCTCCCTAAGAATTCTTGCCAGCAAGTTAAGGGAATATGGATTGGATAAATGGACAGTAAGATGGATAGAAAGCTGGCTAGACTGTCAGGCCCAACGGGTAGTGATCAACGGCTCAATGTCGGGTTGATGGTCGGTTTCAAGCAGAGTGTCCCAAGAATCGGTTCTAGTTTTGTTCAATGACCTGGATAAGGGGATGGATTGCACCCTCAGCAAGTTTGTGGATGACACTAAGCTAGGGAGAGAGGTAGATATGTTGGAGGGTAGAGGTAAGGTCCAGAGTGACCTAGACAAATTGGAGGATTGGGCCAGAAGAAATCTGATGAGGTTCAATAAGGACAAGTGCAGGGTCCTGCACTTGGACCGGAAGAATCCCAAGCAGTGTTACAGGCTGGCAATTGGCTGTCTAAGCAGCAGTTTGGCAAGAAAAGACCTGGGGATTACAGTGGACGAGAAGCCGGTTATGAGTCAACAGGGTACCCCTGTAGCCAAGAAGGCTAAGGGCATATTAGGGTGCATTAGGAGGAGCATTTCCAGCAGATCTAGATAAGTTATTATTCCCCTTTATTTGACACTGGGGAGGCCACATCTGGAGTATTGCATCCAGTTCTGGGTCCCCCGCTACAGAAAGGATGTGGATGCATTGGAGAGAGTCCAGTGGAGGGTAACCAACATGATGAGGGGGCTGGAGCATATGACTTATGAAGAGAGGCTGAGGGATTTGGGTTTATTTAGTCTGCAGAAGAGAAGAGTGAGGGGGGATTTGAGAGCAGCCTTCAACTACCTGAAGGAGGTTCCAAAGAGGATGGAGAGAGTTTGTTCTCAATATTGACAGATGGCAGAACGAGGAGCAATAGACTCAGGTTGCAGTGGGGGAGGATACCAGGAAAAACTATTTCCCTAGGAGGGTGGGGAAGCACTGGGATGGATTCCCTAGGGAGGTGGTGGAATCTCCATCCCTAGAGATTTTTAAGTCCCAGCTTGACAAGGTCCTGGATGGGTTGATTTAATTGGGGTTGGTCGGACTCAGTGACTCCTGAGGTCTCTTCCAGCCCTATGATTCTATGGTTCTATGAACTTTCACCATAAATGAGCACCAGGTTCATTAGTTGTAGGGAGCCGGTAACGCAGCCCCAAATGAAGCTCGCTTCTTGTGATTACAAGATTAGGTGCGAGCGTTTGTGCAGCTTTTGTCTATTTCTCTACAGATTCCCAAAACTCTCCTGTGGCTCTTTTATAGGTAAAACAAAATTAGACTAACCCTCTTCCAAATACTTCAGCAGCTACAAAGAGACAAGACAAAATAAAAGAGCTAGTAAAGAAAATGAAAAAGAGCAACACTTTAGGGTAATGGATGGATCTTTCACCTCCGGAGACCGTGGGTCGGTTCATGACAGTGACACAAGTGAAATGAGTTTGGAGAGACTTTCTTACCCTAGTCACTAGCGGATGTTTGTTTACATTTTAAACCCACCAGTTTGTCACAGCTGGTAGTATTCATCCATGAGAAACCCAGGATTGTTTGAGGGGCAAGCTGTGAGAGGTGCTGGCAGAATTCTGTGTTGGGACCCAGGTCTGGTCTACCAGGGAGATTGATGGTCAGGATGCAAGTGCATTGGAAGATCTGTGTAGGAGCCCATGTTTGAAGCCGTGAGGTTCCTACAGGACAGAATGAAAGAGCTGTGTAGTGAAGAAACATGCACAGACCCTCTTCTCTACTAAGCCTGACTGTGGGCTAGCATGATAGTCTCTCTTTTTTATTAGCACCAAACTCACAAAATATTAGAACCGAACCCCATGGGAATAAACAAGACAGCTAGACTCGTGGATCAGCGTCCCTCTGAGTCCCAGAGCACACAGACTGAAAGCTCTTTAACAAGAGATAGCTCATGCCTCTAACTTCGTATTGATTCCGAGGCTAATTATCCATGAAATGCATTGCTGTGCGCAGGGAAGTCAGATGCCGCTTTCTGATGGTCACTCGGTGTATTTCAGCACTGTGAACAGTCAGGAGTTTTAATGTGATCTGAAAGCTCCTAACGCAAGAGGACTTGCAGTGCATGTTCCTGTCTCTCGCAGGCAGCAGGGCATACCCTTCCAAGTCCCAGTAGAAATCCTGAATCCATTTAAACTTCTCGTGAATCAGGAAGAAGGGTTGGAGCTGTGTCTCAGAGGAAAGCAAACGCAAGCGTTGTGTGGGGTGGAGGGCCGAGGAGGGTTGAGCCGAGGAGGGTTGAAGTCCGATTTAAAGTCCCTAAATCGAATTAGCTGGTAAACCTCATTGCAGGAGGAATACCAGCTAATTTGAGTTAGGGCTTTAAATTGGAATCCCGTTTCACTGCCGTGTGTAGACGCGGGCAGTTACTTCGGGCTAGTCAATTTCTAAAATGGCGACCGGCTGGGAACATGCAAATCAAGCACGGGATATTTAAATCCCGGGCTTGATTTGCAATTTCAGTTGCCCTCATTAGCCTCCCTAGATCGATCTGGGGGCTAGTGTAGACGTACCCTAGCTGATTAGTCGAGCACCTACAACTTGGGCGTCTTCTATTTGGTAATAGTCTGTGGTGTGGGCTACAGGTAGTTCTTGGTAGCACTTTTCGGGCTCTGCTGTTGACCAACTAGGGCTCTGGTCTTGATGGGCAAAAAACGCTGGGTGTTTCAGTCGCATTGTCGCAGCTGACTTACCTTTGCATGACTAAAAAGCCTGGCTGAGTCACAGGCTAACATGGCTTCACACAAGCTAAGCTAACAAAGTGAGCAAAAAATGCACACCTTTATTGCCCATCAGGAAGAGCCCCACTCTCCTCCATAATCATTGCAGAGACAAGGATCAATATCTCGTATTTACAGAATTCCCATGTCATTTGGCCATGGGGAGACACGCTACAGTTCCAGCGTGTCTGCAAGGAGGGATTGTGGGAGAGGGAGTCACATCATGTTCTGTTCTGTTACATAGTTCCTCATTTCTCCAGTTACTCTGGAAGTCCATGAGTAACTCAGTCTCTTTGAGAGCAACAGGGATGTTTCATCC